CCGACCTTTGGTCGAGTGACAAGAATTGGAAGGATCAGTACTTTTTCTTGAAGGGTAAGGCGGTCTTTGGGGAGAGAGGCCAGGGCGAGATTCTGAGCACTTAGCGAGCCACTGGTGAGAAACTTTGTCTTTGTCTTGTACTTTGATTACTAAATCTTATTGTGTTTTTTCTTTGCAGAGCTTGAATTCAATCGGGCTGGTAAAGTGGGGACGACTTGGATGTGCAAACATAGAAGGTTCTAGCCATTCCCAAAGCGCATGGGACTAGCGAGTGGTGTTAGAGGAAGCTAACCTTAGGAAGAGCCATCTCTGGGCTGAAGTAGGAGCGATTCAGCGAGGTATCCTCTTCGCTTCGTTGAAGCAGACTTGGAATGTGCTTCTAACTTGCTACTACAATCATACCATTTATGGTAAGTTGAGGCTGAACCCATTAACCGTTGGAGAGTTTGTGATTGCAAAAAGATTAATGAGAAAGCTGACCATCCCTAGTGTGAGGGAGTCAATTGCTAGACGTTGGGAAAAGCAGAAGAGGGAATCCTCAACCAGAGAGGAGAGAATAACGGAAGATGTGGTGGTGACTCCACCAAGTCGTCAGCCTGCTGCCAGAGCCGGATCATCCCAGACCGCGGTCTTGGACGAGGATACTAAGATGATTACCTTCAAGAATCCGGCTTCCACGTCGACCTATTCTGACGCGGCTTCCATGACCCAAGTTAGCTGACTCGTTCTTGTTCCTGGCGGACGAGACCTTTTTGAACTAGATGGGTGCAGTCACGGCCGCTGATTAGGGGGTATCTTGTGCTTTCCAAGTATAGGCAGGAGTTTTTGCTTTACTATGTCTATCGTGGTCGTATACTAATCAAATTGTTTAGTTATGTAGGCATTCACGAGTAGCCTACATTAGAGGAAGTCCATCGTGACGTAGGAGAAAAGGATACAAGATTTGTCCAAAGCAAATACTAGTTTGCGCCAGAGAGAGGCGGCAGCCCAGAAGACCAAACAGGAGAGTCAGCAACGTCTGAGGGAGGCCGGGGGTGAGCTAGAGCGGATAAGGAGGGAGCTAGCTGAGAAGACTACAGAGGTCGAGTCCCTAAAGGAGCAGTTCCTAAACATTGCCAATGATGCTATCATTAGGGCCAGGGGAGAGCTCATGCTTGAGTACAAGGCCAGGAACACCTCTCACTGGAACCTGGATGAAGACATCCAGCTTATGCGGGAGATTATGGAGGAAGAAGGTGCCGTTGGGCATACGGAGGAGCAGATTGATGAGTAGGTGCTTGATTTTGCTAGCCAGCCGAGGCCATCAACTACTAAGAATGTGATCGACCAGGCTGTAGGGGCAAGTGCTGAGGCTGGTGATAAGGNGCTTCGTTGAAGCAGACTTGGAATGTGCTTCTAACTTGCTACTACAATCATACCATTTATGGTAAGTCGAGGCTGAACCCATTAACCGTTGGAGAGTTTGTGATTGCAAAAAGATTAATGAGAAAGCTGACCATCCCTAGTGTGAGGGAGTCAATCGCTAGGCGTTGGGAAAAGCAGAAGAGGGAATCCTCGACTAGAGAGGAGAGAATAACGGAAGATGTGGTGGCGACTCCACCAAGTCGTTAGCCTGCTGCCAGAGCCGGATCATCCTAGACCGCAGTCTTGGATGAGGATAATAAGATGATTACCTTCAAGAATCTGGCTTCTGCATCGACCTATTCTGATGCGGCTTCCATGACCCAAGTTAGCTGACTCGTTCTTGTTCCTGGCGGACGAGACCTTTTTGAACCAGATGGGTGCAATCACGGCCGCTGCTTAGGGGTATCTTGTGCTTTCTAGGTATGGGCAGGAGTTTTTGCTTTACTGTGTTTATTGTGGTTGTATACTAATCAAATTGTTTTGTTATGTAGGCATTCACGAGTAGCCTGCATTTGAGGACGTCCATCGTGACGTAGGAGAAGAGGATACAAGATTTGTCCAAAGCAAATACTAGTTTGCGCCAGAGAGAGGCGGCAGCCCAGAAGGCCAAACATGAGAGTCAGCAACGTTTGAGGGAGGCTGAGGGTGAGCTAGAGTGGATAAGGAGGGAGCTAGCCGAGAAGACTACAGAGGTCGAGTCCCTAAAGGAGCAGTGCCTAAACATTGCCGATGATGCTATCATTAGGGCCAGGGGAGAGCTCATGCTTGAGTACAAGGCCAAGAACACCTCTCACTGGTCGGATGAAGACATCCAGCTTATGCGAGAGATGATGGAGGAAGAAGGTGCCGTTTGGCATACGGAGAAGCAGATTGATGAGTAGGTGCTTGATTTTGCTAGCCAGTCGAGGCCATCAACTACTGAGGATGTGATCGACTAGGCTGTAGGGGCGAGTGCCGAGGTTGGTGATAGGGTGATCGAGTCGGAGATAGGTGAGACGACTCGCACCAATGAGACTTAGCTTTTTTTTTTTTTTTTTTTTTT